GCTGGCTGGAGAATTCTGGGAGTTGAAGTCCACACATCTTCAAGTTGCCAAGGTTGAGAAATACTAGTTTAAATGATTTTTCTGCACATGGCAGTGTGTTGGACTAGAAGATTCTTGTGGTTCCTTCCACCTCTACAATTCTACCGTTCTAAAGCAATTGTTCTAATAGGAAAAGAAAAACCTGCTTCATTTTAGTCAGGACTACACAAAGACAGGCATTCTTCTCCTTCTTCTTTTGAGCATTTTCCAGCCATTTGTTCTATCATGAATTGGTTTTAGCCCAACTCAGATCTTTTTCAACCCTCACTGTTGGCTTTGACAGTCATTCTCCTAAGGTTCTGCTAGTTGATCTATGGCAGTTGTAATCAAATTATGGCACATCGCTTTAGCATGCTGCTGAACAACTGTATGGTTAAATGCTCCCATTTCAAAAGAAAAGAAAACCTTCCACAAAATAAACTCATACTGAAGACAGGTAGGATAGAATAATATTCCCTGATCTACTAACTTTCTAATGCAAAGAATTGTCAATATCTTGTTTAAATGTCCAATGACACTTCTTTGAGAGTATACTATAAGTCTTCTCTGAACAATAGTGATCTTCTCCAGAAGTCCCAGGAATTGAACCTTGGCATACTGTATATACACACAGATACATTTTACACACACACACTTTTTCTTAGCGCTTCAAAAGCAAGAGAAGCTCCATCACTGAACCTTTCTGCAGAACCATCAAGATGCATTAGTAAGGCCCAGGCTGGGAGATTGGGTTTATGAAGCTCCCTTTAAGTCAGCATGCTGATGTGTCTAGGTCAGTGTTATCTGCGATGTGTAACACCGCTTCTCCCCAGCTTTAAGGGTGGCTTGATTGTCAAGGTTGTTTAACTGGATTTGCACAGGACTGAATCCAGAAACCTTTTGCATTTAACCTTTCCCCTAGAGCTACATAGTAGTTTGGGACTTGGTTGTGCTACCCTTCTTCTATCCCTTGCTAGGTTTCAATTCTGTGTGAGGACTTCACCATCTGCCTATCCCATTGGGGAAGCCAACACACCTGCTAGAGTTGGGGGCACCATGGTGAACCAAAGACTCAGTGGTAACTTTGTCTCTTTTGCGAATCTTTCTAGGCACGGCCTCCAGATGCATTGACACGTCGTTTGGGCAAGATCTTCAGCCACTGCCACCAGGGGTGGAGAGATGCTCTTTTCCAACAGGGCTCCTCAAGCCAGATGTCTTACCACCTGGGCAGGGAGGCAACAGCATTGAAGGGAGAGACTCCCGGATAGTGGGTGGCAGGCCTGTCACATCCGGGGATTATGGAGGAGGTTCTTCTGCAGCCCATTCCCAAGAACACAATGAAATTCAGTCTGGCAGGCCAAGCGGACCTTGGCACTCTGGCAAACCAATGGGGCCTATCTTTGGAGGAGGTCCTGCTCAGAATGGCAACGCAAAAGATCCTAGACCATATGGCCTTGGGGGCGATGCTGGACAACATGAAGGTGGCACTCCTGGAGGGTCACCTTCTGGATTTAGGATCAGATACAACACCCGTGAAGGTCACCCAAGGCCAGTATGGAAGGATCCTGGTATCCCCTATATTCCAACACCTCAGGAATGGGGGGGAAGCTATATCCCAGCATCAAAGGTGTCCCCTCAGTATAGACCCAGTGTACCATATGGTGGTGATGCAGGTTCCTATGATTCAGGCCAACAGTATTCTCCAACCTATGATGGGAAATCCATTGCATCTGGTCCAAGGGGGAGAGATGATGGCAGTTATGGCCCCATACCTGAGGCTTTGCAGCCAGGTGGACAGCAGGGGAGAGACAGTATACCTCCTAAAAACCCTTGTATTCCAAACTGTTAAGGAGGGCAGGTGTCAGGCCTAGCCCAAGGAACTCCTGGAGACCGTGCAGGTTCAATCAGCAAGGTTTATTAGCTAGCGCTTATTTACAGAATCTTCTCAGACTGACCAGTAGTTCCCAGGGACAAGTCTCTACTATCTTCTGGAATGTTTAGGGATGCGCCAGCTTTTTTCGCTTATCTCCAGAGCGTTGCTCTGGAGATGAGAGCACCGTTTTCACCCCCCTTCCTCCATTCCAGTCCATCACAGCAAGTTAGACTTGATTCCAGGTCCTGGAGGTGGATCAGATTGGCCTCAGTTTCCTTTCCATGTTTGGGCAAGAACTTTATGGCAGGGAGATAAATACATATAAAAATTGAATGTGAATAGAGCAGAGTTTTACTCAAACTCAGCTCCCAATCTTAAAAATTGGGGACCTGGACCTACAAAACAAAGGCATTTCAAAATGTATTATTATGGTTATGGACTATTATACTCCAGAAAGGTTGCTTTGGCACTTGGAGTGTCAATTAAAATGTATAGAGATATACATTTTAATTGATAGTTAATATATCCATGAGAGCTCTCCGGAGGATAGTCATGACAATGCAATGTTAGCTGTATGGTGTAACTCTCCTAAGCACATGCTTTTATCAAAGGTCTATACTAGTTCTACACTTATGAGAATACAGACTTTGAGAATGCCTCTGCCATCTTGACTGGTCATTGATCAAGTGGCAATGCCAATGTTTTGCACAGATGCCCCATTATGTTGCTCAGATGGGATAACTGCACACCCTCCACTTCAGAAACATGATCTACAGCAGGACTTTCCCTCCAAATGTACTAACCTGCAACTCCCATCACTTCCAGCCAGGATGTCTCTGTCAGCCTTACTAGGTAGACCAGACAGGAAACATGACCAGATGAGGTAATTGTACTTTATTGTAAGGCTACATTAACAGAATTTTGCAAGTCTGAAAGTACAGTTCTCCCCCACTGTCTCCTTTACAGCCCAAGAAATTAGGGAGAGTCTCTTCTGAGCCCCTTGCCCCACCCACTATCAAACTGTGGGCTTTGCTGTCTCTTATCTGACCGTTTCCTAGGCAGTGTCTCTGGGCCCAGTCTCCCAAGGTCCTTCCCACATACCATTACAGTCCCACAGCCAACCTGCCTAAGGACTGGTGGGAATCACAGTCCAACAGATGTGGTTAGCAAAAACTAAGCAAGACTGTGTGGGTGGCTGAGAGCCAGGTTTCAGAAATACTTTGGGAATAAGTATTTGTGTTCCTAACTTATGAGGCCACCTTGACATACTCTGGATGCAGGGAGTGAAGGCATCCAGAACTGACAGCTAATACAAGAACGGTCTTTGTGCCCTAGGCAGCCAGCTGATAAAAGCTTGCCAACCATGTGAGGACCAACCTTTCTGGCTCTGTCAATCAATCAGGAGGCAGTGGAGGAGGAAGGAAGAGGAGACACATGAGAAAATAGTGTCTTGGCTTCACAAAACAGGCCAAGAAATTTGTGAAACCAATTGTAACACATGCATATGACATGCATTTTCAAGCATGATTCTTCTGTGCTTTCTCTCACATCTTTGTTTTTAGTGTTAGGAGTAGTTTTGAGATGAAATTCCAAATTACACGGCAGCCCTGTCTCTGTCTCCTCTTGTCCAGCTACTTATACTACTTCCAAAGGTACACTGAGCCAGAATCTAATGCCCTACAGATGGGTTGAGACTAATACTGTCTATGGCAGCATTTCTCAACCTTAGGAACTTTCAGATATGTGGACTTCAACTCCTAGAACTGAAGTCCACATATCTGAAAGTTCCTAAGGTTGAGAAACACTGGTCTATGGATTCCACATCTGAAGAGCAGTCGCTTGGGGAACTCTAGGTCAGGAGATTCTTGGATGGCTATCCTAGCTACTATGTCAGAAGAAGAGCTGGGTGAATTGGCTCTAAAAAGACTGCCTTCCTTCCTTCTGCTTTATGATTACAGTATGCTTGTTGTCCCTTGTGTTGCATCAGCCAGATTATTCTCCATCTCATTTGGAATGCAATGGAAATTAACCTCTGCCATCTCCTACCATTGTCAATACGTCTGTCCTTTCCTGTGTTGTGATATTGTTATGCCATTGGAAGCCAAGACTTTTGTATTCTCGATGGTCCAATATTTGTATTAAAATAATCCATACTGTAACGCCATTTTATTTCTTCATGTATAAGTAAAAAAGAGGGACTTCAGTTAACCTCAGTTAGATCAGATATGTTCATGCTCAGGCTTAAACAAAGAAGTCAAATTTCTAGACGGGCAAAATGACTGCGCTTGGGACAATTGGCGTTAGAATCAATCAGAGAGGACGCAATTTGTTACACAATTCTATGAAGTTCTTACTAGCTGTATAGTTTTATAAGCCCCTTTTATAGCCAAGCACCCTCTCTTCTCTCGCTTCTCTGAGCACTCATTCAAGTTCCTCCCACTGGCTTTTATCAACTGTTCACAAGTGACAGTGACCTGGTGTCTTGAAGGAGCTAATTTTTGCACTGCTTAGCTGAAGATGGGATTTTATGAAGGGATAACATGTGCACATTACTCAGTGAGTGTAATGGTCTGTAAGAATGTCCTTGAGAGACAGGAGGAAGAGGAGGAGGAGCCACAGATTAGGCAATGGTTAGATAAGAGGCAGCTTAGCCCGCAGAAGGAATGGAGGTGTGGGAAATGTCTCAGAAGGGACCCTCTCTAGTTTTTTGGACTGTAAAGGCAAGGGTGGAGAGATGTACTTTCAGACTTGCAAGATTGATGTCAGCCCCTCAAGGCAGTCCAAGACAAGAAGCACCAACACGAGTATTATCATTATCTTTATTGTAAGGTTACATAAGCAGTCAGCCTCTTACTTGACTGTTGCTTAGTCGTCTCCTCTTCCTCCCCCTCCTCCTCCCCCTCTTCCTGCTGTCTCTCAAGGACATTCTTACAAACCATTACAGTGGGACTCCCTTCCATATTTTCACTTAGGCACTAGTTAGAAGAGCAGCTAGAATCTTTTAGTGAGTTATGAGCACACAACGTTCCACAGCTTTCAAAGCTTTAATGAAATAGAAGATTCTTTGCCTTCATTTTCACTCACATATTCATTCTCCCTTTCACTCACATGGCTCTTGCAACTCAGCATTGGCCAAACGTCTAGCTCAAGAGCATGGGGGTCCTCAGTCTGGATAGAGGAGCTCTGCTGGAACCTTTTCTGGATGGTCTTTTATAGTCTTGCCAGCTGCTGGGCTAATTGCTTTGCACCAGCTTGATTTACACACTGCCATTTTAAATGCCAGCCCTGTTAAGCCGATAATAAAAAGGTATCCACTGCAATCCCTTTGAAGTGCTTAAGTGGAAAAACCGATTTTACCATGATGTTGACCAATTGCTGGAAAAGGACTGGCTTTTCAAACTCAATCATCAAGTCCCCAAAACTGACAACTAATCACATTATTTGTACCAAGAATTTTATTCTCTATATAAACATACTTTTTTTTCCTGTAGCAACGTTCTACCTTCCCCATAATTTGGAACCCAACGATTATTTGTACAATAAATGGTGAGCTTTCCATCTCAGTGCTGTGCTCCTCCTTCTTCTTCCATGACAAAATGGAATTTGATCCATGTTGGGAACCTTCCCTACAAGAGGCCCCAAATCTCTGAGTGGATTCCTTGGTGTGAACTTAGGAGTTTGAAATATCAAGATGGGAAACAAACTGGGAAGAAAGATGGGAAGCAAATTGAAGAGCGTCAAGAATATTGATTTTACTTTTCATTCTGGTGTAAGTTACACTAAAATGACATATTTCCCTCCGTTTGCATTTTATCTCTATCATTTTGTGTCTCTGTGTGTGAGACAACTTTCACTTTTCTCAGTATTCCAAATTCGACTCCCAGATCTTCCTGGGAGCTTCCCTGCCCATCAATATTTACATATTCTGCAGGTCTTAGTCATATTTCCAAGTTTTTCTCTGCAGTCATGCTAGAAACCATCTGTTTTCTAAGAATAAATACTATTTTATTTATTCAAATTTGTTATAGCTTCCCAACTCCAACAGACTCTGGGAGGCGTGTGAAACGCCCAAAACATAAAAATAATTAAAACATAAAAGTGTTCAGGATACTGATGAAGCAATGGTATCAGAAGAATCTATTCAGCATTACACTGTTAAATCTCTGCCCTCCACTAGTGCTTGTTGGTCTACAGGAAATTGTGGAGGAGCTGATCATCCTTTGGATATGATCATCTTCTTTGGAGAAAATGCTCCATAAGTAAATTAAGTTTCCCATGCTAGGTTCAGTTATATGGATCCCAAAGGCATTCTTAGAAAATAAAAGTGGCAAGTGGATGTACCCCAGCACTTCATTCTGAAGCGTACTCAGAAGAAATAATTTAAACAGAGAAGGGTGAAGAATGTCTAGGAGATTAAACGTTAAAAGATAGTTAAGGAATGCCACCTTAGAGTACTTCTAATCTTAGTACTTAGTACTAAATACGTAGTGTAATATGAGTACTGTTCAGCTTGCAGAGGCGGAAGTGAATAACAACAAATTATTCAGCTCATAATTGCTGGTTTCTAATGAAGATAAGTCACTCATTACTCCCAGATGAACTCTTTGAATGAGTCAATGTATATGTCCATGATACAGTCCCTATAAAAGGGGAAGGCAATGTGGTTCCCATAAATATTGATGTGTCCATGGATACTTCCTTGTGTCAGAAAACGACAGACACGGGTTCGGTTGTCCAGTAGACAGAAGTTTTTATTGGGCACGTTTGCAAAGGT